CAGGTGAGGGGCCCCTATAGATTATATAACCCCCAACCCCATATATACACACCACACTGTACATCATTACTGGGAGGGGGGGGAGAGGACCTTCTATAGGTGAGGAGCCCCTATAGATTATATACCCCCTATATACAGTAAATACCAGACTGTACCTCATTACTGGGGGGGGGCCTTCTACAGGTGAGGGGCCCCATAGATCATATATATATATACACCACATTTTGCATTATTGGGGTGAGAGGAGGATCTTCTATGGGTGAGGGACCCCTTTGGACCTCCTATACATTATATAGTCCCTAGTATTAAACACACTGTCCATTCCTAGAGGGCCTTGTACTGGTGGTGTACACCTAAACACCCCTATAGATCATATTGCCTATCACTATAATCATACTATACTGCACTAAGAGGAGGACCTCCTACAGGTGAGACCCCTGTAGTCCCCCTTTAGACAATATACTGCCTCCATATACCATACTTTATATTACCGGGGGGTGAATGAGAACCCTAGTCATTGGAGACCCTATAAGCTCTGTATAGATTGTAATGAACATGATTGAGGGGAGGAGCTAATACAGACCCCTATAGACCATACACCCCTCTCCATATACCATACAGTATATTATTCCTATAGATTAAATAGATCCCCTTATGTATTACTGTACACTGTCCAGACTCTCCAGAGCGAATAGAAATCCCAGTGTTTTGGAGGGGAACTTAAAGGAGAATGCCGGGCAGAATAAAAATTAATCCATGCAGTGGAGCTGACCCTGTACTGCAAGGGTTAAGTGCTCCTTTTGGACTCACTTGATCCTTGCTCCCACCTGGCTGCCAGACCAGTCCCCACAACCTCTTCTTCACCTGGGCTCTGGAGGTGAGTTATCACATCTGATATAGTGTATTGGATGTGAGAACACCAAAGGACATTCCACCGCCGGAGTGAAGGGGAAGAGACTTGAGCGGTCCCTGCCGCAGGATCGAGGCTCCGGGGAGTTTATCTTCTTTATTCAGTCTCCTAGAGAAAAATGAACAGTTAACCCTTGCAGTTCACGGGTGGTCCCACTGCAAGGGTAGATTTTTACTCTGCCCGGAGTTCTTCTTTAATGATTCTGCTGGAGAACACATTTACCGGCCCAGATCCTCCGTCCAGGTTGCTGGTATTATGGTTGGATTTTTGGGATTCTCCAGATCTAGGTGGCGGTTGGGCTCCTCAGATTCAATCTCATGTTCTCAGTAATAATATCAACAATTGCTGATGGATCCTATAACATTCCTGTCATCATATCGGCTTCCTCGTTCCTGCTCCCCGCGTTCACCTCCTGTCATCATATCGGCTTCCTCGTTCCTGCTCCCCGCGTTCACCTACGGTCATCATATCGGCATCCTCGTTCCTGTCCCCCGTGTTCTCCTCCGGTCTTCATATCGGCTTCCTCGTTCCTGCTCCCCGCGTTCACCTCCTGTCATCCTATCGGCTTCCTCGTTCCTGCTCCCCTTGTTCACCTCCTGTCATCCTATCGGCTTCCTCGTTCCTGCTCCCCGCGTTCACCTCCGGTCATCATAACGGTATCCTCTTTCCTGCTCCCCGTGTTCACCTCCTGTCATCATATGGGCATCCTCGTTCCTGCTCCCCGTGTTCACCTCCGGTCATCATATCGGCTTCCTCGTTCCTGCTCCCCGTGTTCACCTCCGGTCATCCTATCGGCTTCCTCGTTCCTGCTCCCCGTGTTCACCTCCTGTCATCATATCTGCATCCTCGTTCCTGCTCCCCGTCTTCACCTCCTATCTTCTTCTTTTCCTGGCAGCCTGAACTGTATGGACTGGTGTCTGCTTCCGCCGGCCACCGAGGCCATCATTGCTGAGGCGCAGGTGATTAAAGGGCGATTCATAGGGGACCCGTCTCACGAATATGAGCACGCGGTGCGCAACAAGGTGGGCGAAGGGGATGCGGCCTATGAGGAGGAAGTGACGGTAAGTTGGAATCATCTCTGTAAGCTCAGATGCTACTTCAGGGCTCCTTCATACCAGGTGTGAATAAATCAACCACATGCAGTATCACATACAGGTCCTTTACTATACAATCTCTCCATTCAGTTGACTTGGACTGCAGGTCGGATTTGCTTTGTTCTGCCTGCAGTATAAAGGGCGCTGCAATGTCACCTGGTGTGAGTGACCCCTGACAGATGAATGACAGATGTGACAACATTCTTCTGTTTCCAACACTCAGAGTCACATCAAAGAGGAAACACGCCTGGTGGCCACCATCGCCATGATTGACAAGGAGGCCGCCGTGGTACCTCGAGGAGCCTTCATCAAGAATGCACTTGGACAGGTCAAGAAGAATCTTTGTTTCCGAGGTAAACATGAGAGAAAACAGAAGTCCCGACAAACCCTCCAATATCTTCACCCGTTATACAGGTGAAACTCGAATAATTAGAATATGGTGCAAAAGTTCATTTATTTCACTAATGCAACTTAAAAGGTGAAACTAATATATGAGAGAGACTCATTACATGCAAAGCAAGATAATTCAAGCCGTGATTTGTCATAATTGTGATGATTATGGCTTACAGCTCATGAAAACCCCAAGTCCACAATCTCAGAAAATGAGAATATTGTGAAAAGGTGCAATATTCTCGGCTCAAAGTGTCCCACTCTAATCAGCTAATTAAGGGAGAACTATGAGATGAGTGATTTTCACTCACCTCATAGTTCTAGCCGACCTGTGACAATGAGACTGTCACAGGTCGGCTCAGTAGATCGGGAGGTGAGCGAACACATACCGGGTTCGCTCACCTCTCGATCCTGTCACGGCTCTCTGCCGTGACAGGGGAGGGACTGGATCCCCCCGCTCCGGTCCGCCAGCGCTGACTGGCGGGAGGGGGCGGGTACAGCTGGCTCTGCCTCTAGATAGGCAGAGCCAGCTGTCACTCACGCAGCTGGGCGGATCCCGACGTCCACGTAGGGATCCGCTCCGGCTGCGGCGTCTCAGTATACTGAGCCTAAGGTAACGGAAGGACGCTAGTTTGTGTCCTCCCATTACCCTAAGGAGAACTATGGGGAAAAACACTGACCCCATAGTTCTCCTTTAAGCCATAACACCTGCAAAGGGTTCCTGTAATCATCACAATGATGACAAATCACGGCTTGAATTATCTTGCTTTGCATGTAATGAGTCTATCTCATATATTAGTTTCACCTTTTAAGTTGCATTAGTGAAATAAATGAACTTTGCACGATATTCTAATTATTCGAGTTTCACCTGTATGTATTCTGAGGGGACAGGCTCAGCAGGTATTGGCATTGGTAAACCAAACACGAGACATTGAGACCCAGGAACAGTCCGGGGAAGTTTGGCCCACACTCTTATTTAGCAGGGCAGCAAGTCAACACAGCTTCAGTGCAGGAGGGTTTTGTACAGCAAGTCTATAGCATAAAACTAACACAACATCTGAGCCCCATAACTAAACTTAGGTCATATGTCTGTGAATTCATCCAGGTCAGGGTATAGCTGTAAAAAATAAATCAAGGCAACTGGACTTACTGTATTTTTTCTTAAAGACTTTTTGCTGGTCATCTGACTAGTTATTCTTTCTGACTTGTGAAAGCTAGTTGCATGACCAACTATCACGTACCTGACTGGAGACTCAGCTGAGAAGGGGGCTGTCTGTGCACCTCTCGTCCCACACCTCTGGAAGTAGTGACAGGGGATGTAAGGTCAGAGCGGAGCACAGGTGCCGATACTGGTGCTCGAGTGCACTGGACCAGCTGGTGAATCGGCAAGACCGGGATGACACCGGGAGCTCTTGAAACCAGAGCAGGCAACGGGTGTGAGGCCAACGGAACACTGGCAGGATGTCGATGCTCAGGGTGCTGATGGAGCGATCCACCAAGTGGCAGACCAGGAGGGGAGTCAGGTTCTAGCCGAGGTCATACACAGGGAGCCAAACCTTGAGGTGCCCAATCACAGATCAGGAGCAGGGTCAGGAAATGTAAGCCAGGATCATACACAAGAGAGCAGAGGTACCGAATCAGGAGGAGGAGGAGGCGGAGTCAATTGGTAACAAGCCGGGTTCATACAGAGGAAGTCAGGATACAGGAACAGAGTACAGGGCACACAGGGACTAGCTAAAAACCACTCAGCAACTTGGTCATGGCTTCTTGTCCATTTATATAGGATAGTGTGCATGCTAATGAGCATGGACCTGTACGCTAACTAGCGTGCTTCCGTACGCTCACGTGCGTGCACTATTGCACATAATCATTCCTATACGTGCGTGTTCACGTGCTAAAGCGCGTTTTCCAGGAACTTTAAGCAATGGATTGCATGCTTGTGCACGTTTTTGGGCAGGAGTCAATCTGCAGGTAAGTCTCTTACACCAGCAAATCCTCTTCAAGATAAAATACAGCAAGTCCAGTTGATTTATTTTTTACAGATAAACATAGCGATTGCTAAGAAACTTCTCCCCGCGTTGTGGGGTGGGAGGGGGCATGGCGCTGCATTGAATTCAATGGCACTGCTTCCACGCTTGCTCTATTTTTGCATTTGCAGTGGAACGCAACGCTGGCAAAGTTTTGCCACTCGTTCGATCACACTGCGGGCGGGGGGGCACGTGGAAGCGGTGCCATTAAATTCAATGCAGCGCCAACGCGGGGAGAAGTTTCTTAGCGATCGCGGTGCGTTCCAGCAGCTACCGCTCTGGAACACTCAAGCTTTCGGTGTGAAGAAGGCCTAAGAAGGGTGTCCCCTAATGGGTTCCCCATATCAAAGAGACAGCACTTGTACCCTTTTAGTGTTCTGTCAGCACTTAGCCTTTTCATCCAGCAGCAGGCTGTCACAGCGAGGGAGAGCTGGTGGAGTGCTGAGACTAATAATGAGGCTACCAGGTAAGATGTGGAGGCTTTATCTCACCTAAAGCTCTACAGAGGCTCTCGGACCCAGAACAGGACTTATTAAAACTAAAAAGCCCCTCACCATGTTTATTTGAGAAACCTGGGTGACACATACCAATATGGCCATTCCTATGTGGACCTCCTTTCCAAATGACTGAGTTCAGGGGTTCCCAGTGAAGGGTACTGTTAGGACTACAGCATACAAAGATATTTTGGACCATTGGATGCTTCCAGCCTTGTGGTAACAGTTTGGTGAAGGACCTTTTCTGTTCCAGCATGACCTTTCACCTTGTGTACAATGCCAGCTCTATAAACTTGGTGTGGAGGAACTCAAGTGTCCTGCACAGAGCCCTGACCTCAACCCTGGAAAGCCAATTGTGATCCAGGTCTTCTCATCTAACATCAGCACCAGACCTCACAAATGGGCACAAATTGTACACTGCACATTTTTGTTTAAGGCCTTAAAGCTGGGGTAGCAAACCTTTGGAACGAGATGTCCAACAAGCTCGTATAAGTGTGATGATCAGGTGATCACAAATGTAGTGTATATAGACCAGGTATATTTATATTTCTTTTTTAGGCCTTACAGTGAGCGAAGCCAAGAAGCAGAGTTCATTCTTCCACTTCACCTTCACTGTGAACCCCAAGAAGCGGTCACTGCTGGAAAAGGCTGATCTGGATCCTTCCATAGATTTCCTGGACTCTTTGGAACATGATATCCCCAGAGGTGAGTGATATAACCGTGCCCTCGGACATCAACGTAGGCGTCCTGTATTCAGTAAAGCAGAGCTCCCCAAAATACCTGTGCCAGAGGATTAAATACAGAGCCGTGTGTCAGTAACGCTGGCTGGATGGTGGGGGCTCCTGACCCAGAGCTCCCATCCAGTGACCATCCCCCCAAAACTGAAGTTCACTTGGTATTGAGGGGTGGGATATACAATGTGTGGCTGTTGTCTCCGAGTGATCCCAGTCTTCAGTTCTGGTAGTTGCAGCTCTTCGGTACATCACATTCCAATACAATTTACTCTATTCCCAGCTGATCCAGATGTTTGGCCACAGTGCAAGTTGCCCAGCTCTATCGTGTCTTGTCGTATGTATACAGATTTGGGTTGTTTTCGGGCTAAGTCATGAACAGAAAGTCCATATCCAATGAGAGAGACAGTCCAGGAGAAACAAAGGCATCCTGAGGCTGCATAGAGAGGCAGGTGTCTCGGAGGAGGTCAGGGCACAGTCGCAAGATGACACGGGGTGCTCTGTAGTCATGGAGGAAACAGTGGGTGCTCTGGAATCACAGGAGTCATGGAGTGGCACAGGGTGCTCTAAAGGTACAGGGTGGCACAGGTGCTCATGGTGCTCTGAAGTCACTGGGTTCACAGAATGACACAGGGGTGCTCTGGAGTCTCTGGTCACAGAATGCTCAGGGTGTTTTGAAGTCACAGGGTTCATGGGTTGGTAGAAGATGCTCAGGGTGCTCTGGAGGCATAGGGGTCATGGGGTGACACAAGATGCTCAGGGTGCTCTGGAGTCACAGGGGTCATGGGGTGACACAAGATGCTCAGGGTTTTTGGAGTCACAGGGGTCATGGGTTGGTAGAAGATGCTCAGGGTGCTCTGGAGGCATAGGGGTCATGGGGTGACACAAGATGCTCAGGGTGCTCTGGAGTCACAGGGGTCATGGGGTGACACAAGGTGCTCTGGAGGCATAGGGGTCATGGGGTGACACAGGATGCTCTCGAGTCTCTGGTCACAGGATGCTCAGGGTGTTTTGAAGTCACAGGGGTCATGGGTTGATACAGGATGCTTAGTATGCTCTGGAGTCCCAGAGGTCACAGGGTGACACAGGATGCTTGGTTGGTTCGGGAGTCACAGAGAGAATCTGGGGTCACTTGAAGACACTGGAGTGCAAAACAGCGGTAAACATCTCAGCTTAGACATAGCAATGCATTGCTGGAATGCCGTGCTGCTTCATAATTTAAAGTCCGCACCAATCAGGAGAACTATCATATGATTGGTGATCGGCTGTTGGCACTTCTGGGTTTCACCCGGACGCCAGAGCCAGAGAGAAGCTCCAGCAATGGAATGAAGGAGATACATTTCCCCTGATACATTTCCTTCCCAGTCTCTCCATCGCCGGATACATTTCCTTCCCAGTCTCTCCATCGCCGGATACATTTCCTTCCCAGTCTCTCCATCGCCGGATACATTTCCTTCCCAGTCTCTCCATCGCCGGATACATTTCCTTCCCAGTCTCTCCATCGCTGGATACATTTAATTTCTATCCAATTTATTTCCAATCCCTTCATTGGGTATCTCTGGTTTTGCTTTCATTAGTTGTGTGGGACAGTGCTTTGGCCCCACCCCCTCAAATGTAGAGTGCTTAGGGCCCACTCGCTCCAGCGTACAGCGCTTAGGGCCCACTCGCTCCAACGTACAGCGCTTAGGGCCCACTCCAATGTAGAACAGATGGGGCCCACCCACTCTAATGTAGAGCACATAGGGCCCAACCACTCTAATGTAGAGCACATAGGGCCCATCCACTCTAATGTAGAGCACATAGGGCCCATCCACTCTAATGTAGAGCACATAGCGCCCACCCGCTCTAATGTAGAGCACATAGCGCCCACCCGCTCTAATGTAGAGCACATAGCGCCCACCCGCTCTAATGTAGAGCACATAGCGCCCACCCGCTCTAATGTAGAGCACATAGCGCCCACCCGCTCTAATGTAGAGCACATAGCGCCCACCCGCTCTAATGTAGAGCACATAGCGCCCACCCGCTCTAATGTAGAGCACATAGCGCCCACCCGCTCTAATGTAGAGCACATAGGGCCCACCCGCTCTAATGTAGAGCACATAGCGCCCACCCGCTCTAATGTAGAGCACATAGGGCCCACCCGCTCTAATGTAGAGCACATAGCGCCCACCCGCTCTAATGTAGAGCACATAGCGCCCACCCGCTCTAATGTAGAGCACATAGGGCCCACCCGCTCTAATGTAGAGCACATAGGGCCCACCCACTCTAATGTAGAGCACATAGCGCCCACCCGCTCTAATGTAGAGCACATAGGGCCCACCCGCTCTAATGTAGAGCACATAGGGCCCACCCACTCTAATGTAGAGCACATAGCGCCCACCCGCTCTAATGTAGAGCACATAGCGCCCACCCGCTCTAATGTAGAGCACATAGGGCCCACCCACTCTAATGTAGAGGGCTTGGGACCCGCTCACTCCAAAGTACAGCGCTTAGGGCCCACTCACGTGGTGAGCTAACACACTTGCTGTATACGCATGTTGGGGTCATTCAGAATGATGCGTGCTTTAACATGGGGAAAACATGCATTTTCCCTGAAAGAAAACAGAAATAGAAATGCTTGCAGACTTTCCTGCACGCACTGCTTATCTCCTGGGGTTGCTGTGAGCTGTAGCCGCCTGCCATCATCAGGTTAGGTGGTTTGTCCTTACACATAGCCTGAAAAAGTAGGCGGGGCCAGAATCCCAGCTAAAGTGAAGAATCCTGACTGGGGGGATCACATACAGAACTGAGAGATGACGAGTGTGCAGCCAATTCTCTGATAGGTGAATGCCGACAATGCCACCAAACATGGCTGCCAGGAAACTGCGTTTCTATCCCATTCCAGCAATGCGTTATCTCTCCGCTGTGTACCGGTTGGTGCATTCCCTTGTATGGTGCGTCGTCACTGCCGAGATCATAGGAAGCCAAGAGTCGGCTTTACGAGGTGATAATCCGCATCTGAGGCGGGAAATCAGAGGGATACATTCCAAAGGATGATGGGAGTGACAGCGAGCGGATCACCAGCGCAGACGTCGGGTGTTTTTTATTCGCGGCCTCGTCCATGTTGGTCCAGAAGAGTTTTGTAGTCACCAGATGTCAGTTATTATTATTTCACCCACAATGGAGACAAAACAGAATCTGATTACTGGCTACTCATTGGTGGAAATCTCACCATTGTGGGAGGGGCAGAGACACAATGTCCCGGGGGGATTTCACCATTGTGGGAGGGGCAGAGACACAAACTACTGGAGGAAATCTCACCATTGTGGGAGGGGCAGAGACACAAACAACTGGAGGAAATATCACCATTGTGGGAGGGGCAGAGACACAAACAACTGGAGGAAATATCACCATTGTGGGAGGGGCAGAGACACAAAC